GGGGGGTTTACAGGCACTGGTTAGACCAGATGTACAGTATTTTTAAACAGATCTGATATTGATGTTGCCTCTGTTGACAGCTAATAGTAGCCCACCAGCTTTGTCAAAGCCCAGTGAAAAGCCAAAAAATCCACCTCAACTCCGGGTTGATATTAGGGCTGGCTTGGCACAGGCTCCCCTGGTGCCATCCAAACGGAGTAAAAGAGGCAAATAGCCCAGACCAAATCTTCATCCAAGACTACAATGTATTTAACAGAAACCCTAAGGGTCTCTCGCTGTGTGAATAAACCACAAACATGCATTCCTCTGCGCGAAAACACACAGCAAGATTGAATTGATAGAGGCGAGGAGACGGCTCTTTCTAAGGAAGTTTAGGTTTTGTGTGTGTCTGTGTGTGTGAGGAATTGGGGGAATGAACGGATGGCTGGGAGGCCATAGTGTTAAAGAGGGGAGACAAAACCCGAAAGAAAGAAAAGGCGAGGATTTCAGCAGATGATGGACTGAAGGAGGGAGGGAGGCATGAGGATTAGGGCAAAGAAAAGCAGCAGGGGCAGGGAATGCCTCCCATTGTAATGATGATGTTTTCTGAGAAAAGTCCCAGCCGACACAGCTACCTCTGGTATTTGAATATTCATCACCACTCATTACAACTTTCTGATTAAGGCCGGGCTTGGGGGACTGGGGTCCAGACAGGCTGGCTTCATGCATGTTCACCCTCCCTCGAACCATAAGTTACCCCCAGCGACAAATATACCACAACTGCTCACAAGATGGGATAGAGTGGTTTTAGAGATACAAACAGCATTTTCGCCCACAACTATGTACGCACGTTAGCTCTGGGAAGTCACCCCTCCGATCAGAAAATCCAAGCACAACAAAAGGGGGGCTGCTTTCCAAAATTTCTGTGCCTACATTCACGTTTGCATGATGGATCTCCTTATTTTGCATGCAAAGCTCACAGCTCTCCTTCTACTAGAGACAGAGACAGGGGAAGGAAAGAAATCACTGGAGCTCACCCGAAGTCTTGGTCCATAGACTTGAAGAAGAACTTGTAGTTTGGCTTGTTCAGGACCTGTTTAAAATCCAGCAAAGTGATATTTTCGGCAGCGATGGGAATCTTCACCAAATACGGCGTCTCCTCCTCGTCGATATGATAAATTATTTTGGTTTCCGCCATCTCTACGTTTGCGGTTTCTTTTTTCTTCTTCTTTTCCTGCCGACCTGGAAGTTTCCGAAAGAAATACACACACACCGTGAGGCGAGGTAGCGATAACTTTGTGGGGCAGTTAGCTGGCGGCGGAGCTAGCTTAGGTGGCTAACGAGACGGCAGAGGTGAAACGATGAGGGCCACCGAGATTTTCGGTCCGAGCCGGAGGACGTAGGGAGGAAAAACCCTGCTCGAAGCTCGACTTCCCTGGAGTAAAAACTCGCATTCCCACTGTTACCGAGAGGCGAGGGAAAAAATACGGGGAAGCTACATTCACACGACCTAACTCCCAACAACTTTTCCCCCAACAAAAACATACAGGGGAGGGGGGGTCTGAAAACTTTTCACCACTTGTTGCGAGCCAACGCGGCGTGTGACGTAAAGACGTACCCCCTTCTTTTCTTTTTTTTACGTACCCTTCCGAACCCCCCCCCCCGACCTTGTAGTATTAGTATTCTTACATACATAAATAAAGCGTCTCTAATGGTATTTTATACTATATATTCACAGCCTGTTCACGTTCATATATTTTTCTGAATATTTCTTTTAATACTTTTTTGTTTTTTAGTCTAACATTTTAATAATGAGCTTTTATTTCCATCAGTTGGTTAAATAGTATGGAGCATTAAACTTCAAGACTGTAAATGATAAATGGACTGGTGCTTAAATAGCGCCTATCTACTCAGGTTAAACACTCAAAAGGCTTTCTTACTGCGAGCCTTCATTCACCCAGTCACACACATTCATAAAGTGCTTTTATATGTCCATAAGCACGATTTTCTCTAACATTAACACCACTCCGATGGATGCAAAAGGGTAACGAAGGTTTCAGTACCTTGACACTTGAACTGGTGGTTTTGTGCCAGAAAGTGATTTCCCATGTTTTTGTGTGTTTTTGTGTCTAAAATCGTTATTTAAGTTGGTACATAGACTATAGTGAACTGGGTTTATGAAAGGGTTATATATAAAATAAAGAAATTACCTATTTTGCAAGTGTCTTCATGAATCTGCGTTATTGTGTCTACATTATAATGAATCCAGACCTTTTTGGCCACAAGAACTATCTTTATAGAATTGTGATCTTGAAAATGACATTTTTAATGTCAATGAGACTTTGCATCCGGATAAATAAAAGCTATATAACAGTAACTCTGCCAAAAACCGACTGCAGCTTATTTTAGCCTTTTGGTGACAGGAATGTTCTTTCTGAGTCAAAATGCCATGACATCATTCATGAGAGACATCTTTGACATTTGTTTTTTTGTTTTTTTTGGCAAATTATAGGCCAATAAGTCATTTATAATAGTTTAAAATTTAAAATAACTTTTTGGAAAATATCTAAAATCACTTATTGGTAATTGCTCTGTTTTTTTGACCCTCTGATTCGTTGCTGACCCACACCTGAGCCACAGGTACCCTTGAAATGAACTGAAACCTGGACACTGGGTGACAAAAGGCACTAATGGGACAAACTGCATGTTTAATTGGGTGTCAATGTCAAACAGAAGAATACAGTGCTTCGGGTGAGCTTTTTATTAACACAGAGCATATTTCATGTTTCAAATGACCTAAAACTTGAAATTAATAATTAATATCAGCACAATGTTTGTCTAGCCACAGATTAAAAAGAAACTCATGTGTACTCATGTTTTTATTCATTGCTAATCATCTTCTTTCAGCTATCTCCTCCTCTGTCCCACCAACCCTCTACATGCCCCCCTTCAATACATCATTTTCCTTCCTTTAATAATTACAACTTCACAAAACATAATACCAACATATTAGGCACAGAGAAATCATATCACTTACCATGAAAGTTATTCTAAATATCCATAATGGGCCAGATGTGTTCATCCAAGAAAAACAGTTATAACTGTGTACTGAAGTTTCTGTGTGAGGTACGGTTCAAACTTTTGTATGCTCAATTACGTTTGCTGTAGTTTACATCACAGGTGAGAGAAATGAGTGCACACTGATGAAATAAATACATGTGCGTTCTCAAGTAGATTATTAAAGTTAGGCCACTTTCACTGATTTCCAAACATGTACACACCCTGCACAAAGTAAAGGACTGATGTAAGGACTGAGGACCTCATTTAATTTATTCTTTGGCAGCAGAGTCAGCCGCTGCAAAATGATATTATCAAACATAATAAGCATGATGAGAACGATTAAAGAAACCTTAGGGTTTGGTTGTTTCTCTATTAACCACTAGGGGGCACGCTTTATCAAGCTATCACTGATTAAAAATCTGTACTTAAGGCATTCAGTAAGGACACATTTAAGGATTGGACTCTAGTGTAGTAGTTTGAATGTGAACGGTCACCAGTTCAAGATCAGGAGGAGACACAAACTCCTTTGGAGTTGTGTCAGGAAGGGTATCCACTGTAACACAAAAAAATTCTACCAAATCCCATATGCAGAGCTGTCTTCTGGAGCAACCCCTTTTGAATAAAGGAGCAGCTCTAATAAGTAAAAACTTAATTTGATTACAGGGTGAATGCTAAGTACACTTAAAAAAGCATGTTAATAGAAAAAGACTGGCAAACAATTTCTGTAACTCTAAAATTTCCTGTTCAGGAAATGTGGCCCAAACACCACCCCGAACACACAGGTGATCACAAACAGCACCCAGAAGATGACAGCCAGGATCTGTACACAAAACAGCGTCTTCCTGCTCTGCTGTATGATCTCCTCTTCGCCCACCAGGCCAGGCGCTGTGCCATAAGGGGTTTCGGGGTGCATCTGCTGCACCCGCAGGCTGACGGTGGGTAAGATGATGAAGCGGGTGTCCCTGTTGCTGTTGCCCTCCATGGAGAGCACCACTCTCTGGGTGACTGTAGCCATCCGCGAGGTCACAGTCATGGGCAGGTGGAAGGCCCCGGGGGGCAGCCTGGACAGGATGCGGGAGTTGCAGGGTAAGGTGAGGGCATCCCCGGTTTCCAGTGGGGTCAGATGGCGGCAGAGAGGGCAAGGAACGGCTTGTGGGCTGTGGGCGTCGGGGGGGCAGAGCTGGATCCTCTGGAGGCACTCAGTGCAAAAAACGTGGAGACACTCCAACATCCGGGGGCATTTGTTGTAGCAGTTGTACTCCTGGTAGCAGATGGGGCATTCCACATCCATGGGTTCCCCTGGACCGGAGCCACGGCTGGGCACGGAAGCAGCAGCGGGATCCCCCTTCTGCGGCACTGGGGCAACATGCCCTGACATGGTGTGGGAGTGGGTGGATGTAGAAGAACTGGCGAGAGGCAAGTCGGGGATGAGTTTTTAGCTAAAGATGTTAAACTCTGTAGAGAGAAAACATGATCAACATAAACTTCATGTCGACTTTCCGTGAGACAGAAACATCAGGATCTGCTCCCCCAAAGATCCTTTGTTTCTGTAACTTTCGTGAACAGATTCCACGGCCCATGAGTCATAGCATTCATCCGTTTAACCGCTCACACATCCACCATCCACCACCCCCCTCACTTACTCACAATCACCTTTGCCCTTGAGTGCGTGCTAGATAGCACAGACACACACACACAGTCAGAGAAAAATATACAAAATAGTCGGGAAAGGAAGTAATCAGTCACTCTAAGATTTCTCCATTTGTGGGTGTGTGTGTTTGTCAGAGCACGTCGTCTTTTCCCAGCTCAGGCTTGTTCCACTTCAGTCATTCAAAGCAGCTGGTTTTTTTTAAATTAAGAAAACATAAGAAATGTTGGTATCAAAATTACTGTATTTGGAGGCACTTAGGGGAAGCGGTTTGTGTTGCAAACAGATTGCGTGTACCGAGCCAGAAGTCATTATTTATTTACTGAGTGATGTCATACTGAACTCAGGGTGATGTAAGACCCAGCGTTTTTGTTGGGCTGGCTTTTACCGGCTTTCTTCTACTTCATGGAAGTGTAATTTTAAATCAATTAAGTGGATCTCTAACACAAAGACTCTTTTCAAAAGGTGTGTTGAATTGACACAGCAGCCCAGCATTTTGACACCGTGGCTGTGTTACAGTCAAATAAAATCTTTATGGGAAGAAGACTTTTTGGGAAATGCCCTGCTTTGCTTTCCTGTCATTAGATGTGAAGATTGATAAGGTTGTCTGCAATGAGAAGCTGCTGCCAGAAGTCAAATTCAGGGAAACTGTTATGCTCATTTCCACAGTTTCTGATTCTTGGATTCTACTACAGTAGCTTTGCATAATTTATATTTTAAATAATGCTTTTTTTCTTATACTTAAGTACAGCCCCGCTGTTCATCCTGTGACAAAAACAACCCATTTTTAGTGCCTCTCTCTTTAAGACAACTTTCTTGTAATTGGTTGTTTGTAATACACAGAAGGTTTGAACAGCATCTGCTGTAGATAGTTTGTTTTTTTTTTAGACCTGCTGCTTCTTCTTTTGCCCAGTTTCCTCAGATTTTTTGAGGACACACTGCACACCATGCTGAAATATGCAAAGCTTTGGGCTGATAGGTCTTTGAGACTCACTTTGTTGGTAAAAACACGCCATTTTATGTTTTAAGTTTTCTGTTATGTGTAGACACAAACACCGTTCATCCCTCGAGTTACATACGTTTTAGACTTGAGTGGTTCACAGGTGAGTGTTAAGAGGTTAATACAAAACCACTCCTCTGGAAATGGTCAGGTATAAGGACTGGACTGAACATGACCTTTGGAAATTGTGGAGAACTACTGCTCAAGTCAACTTTAAAAATTACAAGAACTCTGGCTCTTTGGTATCAAAATGTAAAGCAATCATGGCACGGTCAAGACTTTCCCACGGCACTGTATATACCATAAAAACGATACAAGGAAATACACAATACTTTACTTTAAGGCGTAAAACCTTTTGGTCAGACACACTGACAGTCTGTAACATTTGTTGATGTCATTTGATCTGTGATTTATGAAAGGAATCAGTAGAATTGTGTAGCTTTACTGGCGCTTTGCTTTTCTATATTTGTGTTTCGCATGGGACAATGACGAGGCAAGCCACACACACTCAGTGGGGGACTGTTGCTTAGCACACGGGGTCCCCTTTGAATCGGTCCATGGCAACCTGAAAGCCTTTCTTCAATAAGTCATCAGCACATTCATGCAATGAGAACAGAAAGTCGACTTTTAGAGCCAAACTAAGCATTTTAGTGAATGAAAGCGACCTGTGGAAGACAGCTATGCATACTTAAGTGAACTCTTTTCTAGGCCAGCGGGCCTGCTGGGACTGTACACAGAGTAACACACAGCGCTCCATCATCACAAACGTAAAAGAGATCGGAGAGTCACTTACCCACTGCGCTCCGCTTCCCTCTCATCCAAGGAACCTTTGTTTCCCACCTACAACACCGGCGCCTTCTTCTTCACAGGCACACGCAGTTTCTCTCATGTCGGTACAGATCTGTTCTCGTTACGGTGCACATTAATCAGGCGAGTTTATAATGTCTGAGCTCAGCTGACTGGCAGCCTTTTGTTTTCGCTCAGTCTCACCTGATTTTATCCGTCTGGTCCCCAGTGAGGCACCTGTGTGGCTCGCTGAGCAGTAATTAAACCCTCAGTGATGTAAAGGTAACCAGGACACAAAAGACAGAAAATGACAGATTGGTGTCTCTCGATCATGACTTGCACTACTCCGCTTGCGTATCATGTTATTATGCTTCCACACAGTCAGCATGTTGGGATTTTAAAATAGAAAGTAGGGCTTAGGCTGAAATTATTAAACATCCTTGCAGTTTATACATAGCATACATGTTCAGATTCCTTGATTCATTCAGTGGCCACCTCTCATGCTCTTCAAATGGAGAAACTGATCATCATAGAGGTTTCCTCACATACAGAGGAACTTTGGTATCGGTTTGGAAGGTGTATAGTTTTTACACCTTTGTAATTAATACAGCGATATAAACACGTGAGATGCGGGCTCTATGCAAAGACCATCACTGGTTTTTAATTGACGGCTGGTTCCTTTCTCTTTAGCATTACTGAGATCCTGCTGACCAGCTCAGAAACCTGAAACAGCTCAGGTGGAGAATTTTCACAGTAGACAGTTTAACTTGTAACTTTAGGAAAATCACATGGAAAAATCTTAACTGTTGATCTTAAAGTGTTTTTTCACTCATTTTACACACCCATGTTGATCTAAGTGATCTGACCTACTATTTAGTTTATTGTTATATTACTTTGAAGGTACCTGTTCACTTAGCTTTGCTTACCGGGAATAAAGTGTGTGCTGCTGTTTCCTGTATATGACAAATAAAACTGTAAACTTGCACTGAAGCGTAAACAGCAAGTGAAACCGACATGTAACCCACCTGAGGTCTGTCCCTTGTGTTTGTTGGCGTAGTTTGTTTGTATCACACATGCTGTGTTTAAAGGTTGGTTATGCAAGATTCAGAAAGCCCTTAAAATTATTGACACACGCCCTACTTCTCAAGTAGGCATGAGCAAACCAGTTAGAGCCCATTTTGCCTTTATATCTGTCTGGTTGTAGATCAGGAGGTAGACCAGGCCTACTATTCAGAAGGCAGGTGGTTCGATCCCTGGCAGCTCCAGTTTACATGGCAGGCGTATGCCTAAATATATCGAGTTGCTGCGATGTGACTGACTAATTGGATATTTGCATCAGTGAGCATCACTCCTGGTTAGGTTTGTTGACTTGAAACATTAGTCGTAACATTTCAGTATAAGTTCTGTGTGTCTGTAGTTAAACAGGTGAAAAGTGGTTCATGTATATACCCATTACAAAAAACCCAAACACCCCTTTTCTAAAAAAAAAACAAAAATGAAATACTTCACAGGATATGATCCCATTTTCCTTTGAGTATTAAGAAAGAGACCTGGTGCTTTACATAATTATACCCTGTACAGTAAGATCAATGCAGGGGGGAAAAGTGGGAAGGCTAAAAAGAACAGAGAGAACAAAAGACTCTACAACTCACACAGGAAACACACAAACGGAGAGAACAGGAGAGGTTCTGGCTTTGTGATTTTTGGCCGAGACTGTGGCACAGCGGAAATCACCATGAAAGGAGTTAGGGCTGGATTATCTGATAGGAGGAGTTTTATTTGGGGGATTACTGTGGAGAGGGAAGAGCCGACGTCACCCACGCATATACACACATACACAACCTCAGTGTTTGTGAAAGTGAAGTGTGTGTTTGTATGTAGTGTGTAGAGGGAGGCAGATAAGAAGGAAAAGCCTAGTCTGATATGTGAAAGACATTTCTCTGATCTCTGAAGATAACTTCCTGGGACTATTAGAAATGTCTACACAGCTTGACTTGTTGTATCTTGCCCTCCTGCCTGTCATGCACTGCACAGTGATAGAGGAGTGTGTGAGAGATAAGGAGGAATGAAAACAAACTCTGTATGTTTAATGTGGATATTCTGTGTAGATACACACTTGTTACTGTGTTACTGTAGCTGGGTGTGCGTGTCTGTGTGTTTTGGAACCACTTCTCATGGCGTCATTGTCGGCAGTATCGTTACATCACGTGGGGCTTGTGACTCATCGGCCGTGTTTAGTTGGGTCTGAAAGGTTAGGTTTCCGACAGGACGTCCACGCCCCGCCTCTCTAAAGTTTGAATAAAGCTGAGAGCGACTCGCCTTTTGACTCATTCAAACTTTAAGGACGAAACGCCAGCATCAGAAAACGACATGTGCGCAGAGGAACTCGAGTGCGGGGTTTGTTACCAGACCTACAACGCGGGTCGGCGGTGTCCCCGGGAGCTCCAGTGCAAGCACAGCTTCTGCGAGAGCTGCCTCTTGGCCCTGTCCAGGCCCCTGGGACCCGGAGATGCGCATCTGGAGGCTGGCAGGTTGATCGTATGCCCGCTGTGCCGACACATCACATCCATCTCCGATCATGGGAAGATCCGAGCCGAGCTGAGGGTGGACGAGAGCGCACTGGAGCGGCTGACGGCTGCGGGACTCCTCAACGAGCCCGAGGTGGACGATCAGGTTCAAGAGGACGAGGAGGAAGCGACAGCTCCCGAGACTCCAGCCGAGGAGAGCGAGTCTTCCGCGGGCACAGGAGGCGGGAGACTCCGGCGGTGTTTGAAGAAAGTTTGGCAGGCGATAAACGGCAAGGGCCAGCAGAGAAGAGAAGGTAAGAGAGACCCTGATTGTGGTTTATGATACTTTCACTGGCAGATTTATCCTCGATTAAGTATCAGCGAAACCAGACTGTCAAAATATCATCTAAAAATCTCAAGTTTGTGTCCATTTAGTGATTTTATTCTGAAATCTTAAGGAAAAAAAACTTCACATGAATAATCCAACTGCTATAGGAACTAAAAGGAAAATAATAGCCAACTTTTTATTTTAAGTAAATGATTAGTGCTGTAAAGAGATGCAAACTTAGTCACACTATAGTTTGGTTTGATCACACTTTTGTAAGAACTGGCATGTGTATCCATTCAGTAACAACATTATTTAACTTTAGGGAGGTTTCCATTGAATTAAGTTGTTCATTGTTTTCTAATGTGCTCTCTCTTTCTTTCAGAAGACTGTATGACCAGTGAAGACCTGAGGGCCCTCGCCATGATGTCCTGCCACATGTTTTGAGCAGCCCCATATGGCCCCAGAGTAATGCAGTATGAGTGACGAATCATCTTAAAATGGACTTGATGGCGATGATGATAAAGCCACGTGGACACTGTGAATGTTTTGATTCCTTGTTTGGCTGCTGTGTAACCAAATGTGATGCCAAAGCAGCCTTTTCAGCCCCACTTATGTACAGATGCAACTGTTTTGATATTTATTGTTTTTTTATTTGTTTTTATGAAAGTATTTAATATTTAAAAAAATAAACAGATTTTTTTAAAAACACAGTTTGAAGCTTTCTGTGGATTTTTAGTGATTTGCCTTTTGATAAAAAACAAAACAAAGTTTGAATTTATTATTGTCATAATTAAAAGCCGATAAGTAAATTGAAGGGGAAATGTACGGCCTTTCAAAGGAAAGAGGAGTGTAGACAAAAAAGGAAAGTTAATGTTTTGCATAAAATTCACTGAAGTCAGAAAAACAACAAATAGCCCTTTGCTCATAGCTCCAGGAAGTTGGTCACCTGAGGCCAGGTGAACTGTATTGCCTCCAATCAGACTGACAAGCACCAGCAGAGCTGCAAGATCCCCTACATGGTTCAAGTAAAAGATACCGACTAACGGCGCTGCTGCAGCTTTTACTAGTCGTTTAAACCTGGAAAAAAGTTGCTGATCATGTTCGGCAACTTTGCTCCTCACCCGAGGTAAACGGTACACAGTATTTTGTGGGGGGGTTTTTGCACATGCAGATAAAACATCTGAAAAGCACTAGCAATTATTTGTGACGACAGTTCAGTTCTATCTATCTACATTTGGGTGTAATTTTTTATCTCTCCAGAGTCCTTGTGTTTGTGCCGATCTGTGCAGCCATCGTGCTGTTTATTGTGTGCCCAGATTCTGCGAGAGGTGAGCCCAAGCATGCTCATCCTAATGGCTGTTGTGGGGTTTTGCTGTGCACGTGTTAGCTGGAGAGTCATAGTATTTATTTCAACAAAGCTGATGGTGTTAATGATGGCAGAACGCACTTTTGTCAGGGATGTCACAAACAGTTTCCAGGTCATTTAGATAAGGATCTTATTTTAATAAGATCAATTTTATTCCATTTTTTTAATTTATAAAGTATCAACAACAACTGTCCCCTCAAGTCACTTTAAATTGCAAAGGTAAAAATCCTGCAATAGTAGAGAGAAGATTGTTGGGGTTTTCAGACAGGGGGTGGGGGGCAGCCATCTGGCGTGAGGGAAGAAAATAAACATTTCATCTTCAGTAACAGTAATCTTACATCATATAAGGGAAGATTATGAAATAAAAGTGTTACAGTCAGGAATCTGTTTTTAATCTAAGATGCCAGAGAATTTTGCATGACTCACAAGTCACAGGACCATGGTGCAGCCTGCCAAGTTCATCCACTTTCTGAAGCTGAGCGCCCTCTAAAGGCTAACTTTCTTCTGACTTGATTCCTCTTGCAAACAGAAGGGTTGAATAGCAGATGATAGCAAAGCAGCAGATGATCTCACCGACACAAACTCTATAAACGCCAAACAATTTAATTTGAATCGGTGGATTTAGCTAATGTTTATTTATTAAATTTAGTGGCGCAAACATGATTCATTTAATAATTATGAAAAAACATTTGCAGTAACAAGACTGCTTAGCTTCCCATCTTTAATTCTGCGGTGTTGTGTTCAGTAATTCAGTTCTGTTGTGTTTAGATTGTTCTTCCTGTGGATGTTTGACTGTTTCCAGAGCAAAGATTTTAACAGGTCACCGTGACTTAGACTCCTCTAGAAAATAATAACTTGCTGTAAGTGTCGTAGTTAAGATGTCAGTTAAATCAAATTGGTTCTATATAAAACTAAGGTTATATAAAATGTATTCAGTTTAATATCCTGTGAAGCTCTCATTTTTGGTACATGGGGTGAAAAGTTTGCATAACACTGTTCTTTTTATTACATTTTTAAATATAAGTAAACAAATGAAAGCAAAAAAAACTATGTCAAAGAGATGAGATGCTGCTTTTCCAGATTCACAACCTCTGAGATTTCCACATAGAAATGTAGTGATGATCATTGCCAATCCACTTCACCATGGCTTTCCTTGCTAGCATTAAAAGAGAGGGTAGGATATCATCAGCATACAATAAAACTTTGTTGTTTCGTACCAGTTGTAATTCCTTGAATATCTGGGTGTTTGCCTGAAATTTTAACAGTGTAATGAGGGGGGAAAGCTTGAAACTGAGAATCGACAGCAGCCTGAAACCAGAGCTTCCAAAGGGATTACTTGTAGATACAATGTCGTCATTATGTGAAACTTTGGCAATCATGTAGGTCATCAGACCTCTTTCAAGAAGACATAACACGGGCTTTAAACCTGCTAGAGTTATCAGTCATCCAATTGCCAGGCTATATGATATGTAAAATATTTTAGTTTATAATTTTCTATCTGTTTTCACTTTCAGCCAGTTGCACAGCAACTCGGAAGCACAATGGAGCGACGTACAACGCCTGGAGACAACTTTACACTCCGTATAGGCAACATCGTCCCGCCTCTACTGGTCTGCTGTCAACAGAAACTGGACTTCACACTGGAACTGATGACGAAACTAAGACGCGTGGAAATTATAGAGGGACTCCATCAATCATTGATCAGCAATCAAAACCTTTACAGGTTACACAAGGTATTTACAGTGACGGTCAAAACAGCCCAGCAAGCAGGCAGTCTCGAGTGAGAATAATAAAAGTGCAGAGAGGCCATAGAACAGATGGAGCGAGGCCGGCAAGCAGCTTTTTAACTAGCAGATCCTCTCCCCAGCACAGAGGGCAAAGCGCAGAGAGATGGAGGTCCAAAGGGAATGACCCCACGCTCACTCAGAAAGAAGCCCTAATTGGAAATTTTCATGATTCCCACTCAATGATTATTAGAAAACCACCTACAGAAAAAGCTGGCAGTCGCCAAAGCTTGAGTTTTTCAAAAATTTGGGACCTGAAATATATTCCAAAACCTTACAGCAGAGCACAAGTTGCAAAGACTGATTCTTCAAGGACGGATGAAGATAAATCTCCTGGAAACCCATTTTCTTTTTCTCTTTCTTCATCCCAGACGAATGGTTATTGGGAAACACCAAGGGGGCGTTACAGTGACTATAAAGAGACAAATGAATCTCCAGCAGTTGGGGCACAGAGTACATGGAGAGGGAGTCAATCAAGCAATTTTCTCAGCTCTACAAGTCATCTGGCTCCTCACGCAACATCAATCAGCAATGGCGCAAACACCCCCGTTATTAACAAAAACCCAAGAGCAGAAAAACTGACATCATCCATCACAGATTCCCCCCATGGGCGAGACTCAATGAGCAACGGTCAGACACAAAGACACAAAAAGATGCAAGCGTATCTTTTCAAGGGCCCTGAGACCTCAGTTAATAGAGTTGTGGGAGATGGACGAGAGGCTTTAAGTGGACAAAGCAATGCTTTCATTACGTCAGATAATCAAAGGCCCTCTGATGTACCTGCTGCCAGCAGATTTGGATCCAGGTATTATAACACAAAAGATACAACCAAGCAAATTACTTCCAATCTGCCATATCATCATACTAGTGCGGCTCAGAATGATGAACAGATGCACAAAGATTTAAAAAGACCCATCTCCAGCTTAGTTCTTCCTCCTCACATCACAGAACAATCTTCCGATCTCCATCTTGCTCCAGTAAAAACGAAGAATATGGCAAGTTTTTCCCCTTCACCTCACATTTATTCCACACACGTGTACGCCACCAGAAGTGAGGAACCTCTTTCAGTCAGCAAAGTCAATGCAACTACAAGAGATTTGGTGCCAATCCAAAAACCAGGAGGGGGCACACAAAGTATCTTTGGCTTCAAAGAGTTTAAAAATCCTGTGTGGCAAGCTGTAAAGAAGCCACGCGCTCTCACCTTTAAAGAACAGCCAAACTCCAAACAGCACAGCTTTGAGAACATGAAACATTATAAGTTTAAAATGTCAAATTTTTACCCTGCTCTGCTCCAAAGGTACAGTTTTGGCCAAAGAGGAGGATCTGCTATTACTACAACACCACCGGTAATGTTGGAGAAAAACCCTGTAGTTTATTCTTCACCCAGCACCTTAATCCCAGTCACAACACCCACGCTGTTTGTATCAGGGTTTATGCAAGTAATGACACCTAAAAGTGACCCTGGTGTGGACAGAAACCTCAACTACAGACAATTCAGAACCTACAAAATGACAAAAGCTCCAAAAAGATCCGACTCTCGACCACTCGAGGGAGCCAAACCTTCAGTTCAAGGACCGGACAAATCTGCCAGACTCCAGCAGGATCTTGATGGTATTAAAGTCGGACGTCGACAGACCTCAGAACCGAGAAGCTTCAGAATTTCCGATCAAACTGAGCCAGGCAGCAGCAATACATCAACATGGACTCCAAAGGAGTTGAGCAGTGTTGACCTTAAACCATATTTAAAGACAGCAGAGGATTCTGTATTAGTCTTACCTGGTAAAAACAGCAGCAGACCCTACACTTTCCGGAGATTCAAGTCCTTAAAAAACACGACAGCACAGGCTCGCAACAAAATATGGTGGCAATACCCGATGCAAGATCCAGCATCAGCATCTTACATAGTCTCCTCCGCTTATTTGAGGTCAGCGGGGCGCCTCACTTTTGCATCAAAGCAAAAATCAGAGCTTAGGACACCCAACCAAAGCAAACCTGCTGAGATGAAGGCAATCCTGCTCCACACCTCCACCAGCCGCTCCGTGAGAGCCAAACACGCGAAGGCAAGACACAGAAACAGCAAAAAGCTCGGCGATTCTACATTCACCAATCACACTGTGGCCATAGTCAGGCTGCCCAAGCGCCCCGCCGAAGTTAAAGCCGTCACTTACACCGATGTTCTTGGAAGTGCTTCGTTCAGTGGTGTCATGGAAACAACAGAATCTCCTGACAGGCCAACTGATATGGATCATTTTCCAAACGTGACAGCTACGACCGAGCAAAAGAAAGCGATGAACCGTTCGAATTTAAACTCTGATGATGAGTACAGTGGAAAAAACATGACCAAGAACTCTGAGGAAAATACTGATAATGAGATGGGAGATTTCAGCGGCACAGAGAAAAACAAGGCGGATAAAAGCGAAAAAGCCGATTATGAATGGAAAAAAACAGTTTTTTTTCCAGATAATGAGGAAAGCGGTGGCTCTGAAGTTTTATCAAGTGTAGTAGGAAGTCAGGCATTTACAAAAGATTTGCTAGAGATGGAGTACCTACGAACTTCTACTGAAAATGTTTCCTTTAAGTCAGTGAACCTGCCTCACCCAGATAAAAAAACAATAAAAATGCTGGAACAGTTCCAATAAAAGCTGGAAAAGTACACATGACTGTGTTTTTGTGCCAACAAACATTTCTAAACAACATGACTGAGCTGATGGATATACTATTACAAGGGCTGAGCTATAAATGGCTGATTAAACCGTGTTTACATTCAAGGGTACTTTTGTTAGTGAAGTTTATAGCTCCTGATACCAGCTTTAAACAGTGACAGTCTGTTTCCTTTTGTTTACATTCTTCGCGCCTGCTGAAGATTTAAACTGGATTTATGCGTGCAACGGGCTGATCGGTCTTCTCACCTTGGAAATGGAGCATAAAGAGCCAATTGACTCAAATGTGCAGATGTTTAAATGCTAGATTTGTGATGAGCAGCTGTGCAAATCTTTATGTCTGCTGGCAGAAAGAGCATCGTTGAGATGAGCAGTTCTGTTTCTTGTCTGTATATCTGCTGTGATGCTCCTCTGTATGTGCTGCACCATACAAATTAAAAGGCTCATAATTTACTTTTGTTGTTTGTTTTGTTATAATTTATTGTTTTAGGTTATAAGTACCCAGCAACAAAGAGGACTAACTGGACAGTGATCTGCAGAGTTTTAAGGATAAACACTATAAAGACCCTTAATAGTAATGTAACTGTAATAGTAGATGTAATATTAGGACGATAACAGAAAATACCCTTAATTTAGCTTCAAAAATGTGAAATATGCACCGTCATTGCAACCAGAAAATGTCTTCCCTCTGAAAACACCTCAGTGTCTAATTACATAAAAGGTCTCTGTAGTTTGGTGAAATTATGAGATCTCATGAGAATATTTCAAACATCTGTCCTCACCTTTTCATGTAGTGAGAAGGTGGTATTGAGCATCCTGGTAATTATTATAATTAGGCTAGCATTTCCAATACTTTAAAAGCCTGGGACTTTACTAAAGTTGCAAAAAGCACAAGGCCTAGGAAACGTGAAAGATTAAGTAGCCTTCATAGTTGAAGCTAACAAAGTATTCTTTGTTTCTAAATTTAACCAATTAGCTTTTCTTCCTAGGCTAAGTAAGCCCAGTGCCAGCTAACAAAGTAGGTTTTGTGGCTAAACATGACTTGTAGGCTCAAAGACTAATGTGTAAGATGTTCCCATACACACCCACTTTGTTAGCTTTAGGAACAAGAACCGCTTAGCCAAAGAACAAAAGCTAATGGGTCAGGTTTAGCTAACAAAAGCACAGTTTGACCAATTAGTCTTAAACCTAAAACCAGTTAGCTTTGATACTTAATGCTAACAAAGCAGGTTTAAGTATAAAGCTAGAAATACCTTTTGGCTTAAAATGTTCTAAATAGTATTTTAGCTCCTCCAGCAAAGGATGGATGAGCTGCAAATAATGATCACGTAATGTAGCAAGCTCACATTTGTCTTTTACAAGAACTTTTGTTTTTTCCACTGCATAACCTCCATGCACACTACTTACAACTTCACCATAGTTCTTGCTCCTGATGTACTGAAAAACATTCAGTTCAAACTATTCAGCAAAGTCTAACAAAAGACTCTTCGTGATGATACATTTTACACAAAATGATGAAGAAATACCAAATGATGAGGTAGTTTGAAATATTGCATTGCTATCCATGTTACCACTTGGATCCTGCAGTGGTTGGCACAATTTTCCCAAGGGGCCACATGGGGGACTGTTGTGGATGACCCAACCAATAAGCTAAACTTCTGCTCAATATGAATTTAATCTCTGTTACTGATCATAGTAATTGCTACAATCAGGCCCTAATGGTGGCTCTTTGGGAAAATGTATTGCCCACCCCTGTTAAATGTTCATGATAGATGGAGTGATCCTATTGGTTGCCCCCCACATCAGGAAGCTGTGGTTTTGGCCTTCCTATTACTGTTATGCTAACATCAGTAATATGATCAGTGAAATTACATATTTTCACGCTTTTTATGGCCATGATTACCACTGACCATGCACTCATAATCCTCCGGAACTCAAACACATTCATTTCGACTTGAATGAGATTCATTTGTCCTGAATATGAATGTTCTTGAACCTCCCTGACTTCTCAGTGGATTGCAATTTTCACTAGCTTGTCCAATACAGTCAGCCAAGAAAAGACAAGAAAACTAATCACTTTCTTTGTGCACTTCACACATTACCAATAACCTGTGAATTGTGACGGCATGTGACCCATTACATTTCTGCGTGGTTACTAAAGCTAATAAAGCCATCTTTGTGCCTACAGTTAAACTGATAGGTGTAGTGCATGAGGTGCAGGAGTTTAGCACTCACCCAGATCCCACTGGATTGCAGTATGCTGATGTTGCAATATTTATTATCCACATTATGAATGATGCCAAAAGCATGTTGCTCTAGTTTAAATAATAAAGAAAAAAAATAGTTTGCTCAGAAAAGCTCTGTAGTCTGTTCCTGGTATTACTGATGTATAATTTCCTGTCTAGATATTTAAATGAACTGAATGGCTTTAACATATTTTCCTAATGCTGCATCAGCTCTCCTGCGTTTCTGTTCTTTGTTTCAGTATTGTTTAAACCAGTAATTTGTGATGACTAGCAGAGTGCTTTACTGGAATTCTGGATGATGTGGAAAACTCAGCGTGCTGGGAATGTATGATAACGCAGCCTTTTCACTGAATTACTCCAGCTCTGACCGAGAAGACGTGAAATGTGGCTTTTTGAGCGTTGGTTTTGAGTCGTTTGCCAAATGATTTGCGTTCTATAATGTCAAATAGAAAGAGGGAAAACAGAGCAAGGTCATTGTTGAGGCTTTTTATAAATGGATTGTATTCCTTGTGTCCTCATTTCCATGCAGGCAGTGGCTGTTCAGCGTGCTGACACAGATTTTCCATCTCCTGTTTTTGAGCTTACATTCACGCTTTCAGCATGCCGGTCTCTGAGATGGAAAAACCTGATCCTCCTTTGCCCAAGTGGGGCTTCTTTGAACTCCATCAACCGATCTCATAAGTTTACACAGAGTAATTCATTAAAACGGTCCATTATTTACCCTATTTGTCTCGAATTAAACCGTAAAGGGAATGCAGATGTAGTACACATTTAGTTAGTTTCAATCACAAGGATGTAGTCATCACTCTGTTGCTACTCTTCTGTGTCTTGTCAGTTTTAGCTGAATTTACGGATAGCACACATTGAGTGACCTGATCTGGTTTTGCAGCAAGAGCACAGATGTTCCACTAGATGGCGGGGCTCATCCACTGTATTATCTAATGTGATAAAGTCAAGAGGCTTTGCACTTCTCATCCTGGGTGTCTGCTGTTGGCCCACTACATGACTTTTAAGTAAAATGAATTCACGAAGATCAATTTTCTATCATCATTGCAACAGATAGTAATCATTTTAAATCCATTCCTCTCCTTTATCGATCAGACAATCAAGCGTTCAGTTTTCGGGGATGCTGTGCCGACACTAAACCCAGATCACAGCTCCTCACAAGTCCATTCACACCTGACCCTTCACCTTCTCTCAGTACTCCACTTAAATTCCAGTTCTACACTTGTCCTCCATCTACACCCTGGAAGAGGCCCCAAAGCCATGAGAAAGTGGGAGGGTTTTTTTTTTTTTTTATTTGGAGGGGACCTGCCAGTCAACGTTAAACACATTGTATATTGGATTAACACCCCCCTCCAACTCTCTACCAATACCCGTGGAAAGTGGGACTGTCCACTTTCCCATAGAGCTGAGAGGTATTAAGGTGATATGATGTTTGATGTTATGAGGTTTCCATGTGCTGGCATGTAAAGGCGTGGGCCTGCCGGCTCCTTCAAAGTCACCCTCCTGTGCTGCCTTTTGTGTTAGCTGAGTGTTGTGTGTCGAGTTCACACAATTCCAAGTTTCTATGCTCGCCTAAAATATTCTCTATCTGTGTGTGTGTGTGTGTGTGTGTGTGTGTGTGTGTGTGTGTGTGTGTGTGTGTGTGTGTGTGTGTGTGGTGTTTTCTTGCAAAGGCTGGCCCTCCCTCCCACTTCTACTGTGAGGGGAATTCTGTACCATGTGTCTGTGGTTTTCAGGGAGCTTTCAAAGAAAATAAAGCACTGAGGCCTCGCAGCCCCTCCTTACTTCCCTCCTCCTTTCTTCTTCTTCCCCTCGTTTCCCCTCACTCACTCCCTCCATGTGGCACTTATTGTTTTTTACAGTTTCCACCTCCCCATTTTTAGTCCAGCCAGCCAGCTCCTGAGTGACAGAGCTAATTTCATACGCATCCTATAACCCAGACAAATCCATAATCACAGCAAACAGTCTCTCACGAGTCGGCTGAGAGGGAGAGTGAGAGCTGGGTGGTGTCGGGAGTAGGAAGGGGAGGGAGGGAAAGACAGAGAAAGGCTTTTTGTTTGGCTATGTACACTATGTGAAAGAGGGGGCGGTGAGGAAAAGGAACTGGAAATACATTAGAAAATGGTTGCGTCGGCTGTGGTGTTTGTGGCTCAGATGGCTTCAGATGTCATGTAGTGGATGGACCCACACACATGGATACCATGACTGTGTGTAAACTTACTTTACTGAGTCTGCAGTGATTAACTTTGCCCTAAGGCTCATATATGCATGGAGAAAAATACAGGAAAGTTGTAGGATTAAGAGACGCATCTTGCATCTGGCTGTAGTCAAAGGTTTTATTGGCTTATTTATGGTTTAATGTGGCTAACTGTAAGGGGGAATAAGGAAAAAAGAGCATAGCTGTTTCTAACCTCTCATGAACAGTCCTTTCTTAGTCAAGCTTTCTTGACATATCCTTAAGTAGTGTTCAGGAATAGTTAGAAAGGCTTCTTGAAGGACATTCAAAGCTCTTCTTTGGATGTTTCTGCCTTTTGTTCTGTTCTCTATCGTGCTGATCCCACACTGCTTCAATAATGTTGAGGTCCAGACCAATCCATGACTGATAGTTTTCCACTGTGTGTTTTTGCTACCCAGGTATTGGCATCGTGTGCACTGGGATATTTTGGGATCACCGTCGTGCTGAAAAATTAGGCTGAACCCAAAATTTCAAACTTGGACTCATCACTTCCTGTTGCCACTTATTGTCAGTCCAGTTCCTGTGTAATCTGGCATACCTTCACCGTTTCTCTGTTTCCCTTCCGCAAGAATGAGAGACTGAACAGATCAACAGAGGCGCAAGACAAATATCTTAGGTCCCGCGTCAGGTCATGCTGTTTTTCTTTTTTTCCTATTTCTTAAGGAAGCGCTTTTCCCCCCCTTCTGATACGTTTGGACTTCAATAAAAGAAATTGGAGCAAATTGGATGGAAAATGAGTGAAAAAGCAGCCAATGTCCAAAGAAAAACAACATTGGAAAGGATTTCAGAACGCCTTCAGATGTTTTGCTTGAGAGCACTTTAAAAAAACCACATGAAAATCTACCTCCTTGGAAGCAGAATATAAAGAAACGAGGGATGGCTCAAGACTTTTGCACAGTACTGCAATAGAATAAGTGTGAATAATGTTGAGGAATCACTCTTGAAGCATGGAGTAGTGCCCACATCACCGTTCCCACATGTGCTTCGGGAACAAAAGCTTCATCCATGCCCTACATTCATCGAGCTTCCTGTGGACCGCACCATGGAGGAAGTCATAAAGACCGGAAGACTTCCTGTATTGTTGCCAGCATTTAGTGGTACAAAGTGTACATGATGTGCAAGGCCAGAGACTAGTGATGTAAACCTATAAAAATAGATCGCTTAGCCTCATCAAAGGGCCCAAGACGTACATCTGACGGGAGATTTATGCATCTGTTTTCTTTCCGCAGCTTTAAGACCTGTTTTTACTGCGCTCAGCAGATGTGTTGATGCTTTAAAGCAGACTGGAAATCAAACTATTTTGAACATCAGATTTCATACCATTCCTTGATTCGTTATAACACTAACTACAACAGCCTTGATTTTACAGAAGCAGACTGTAGTCTAGTACATCATGCAAGCACTCTTTGCTTGCATGCTTAGTGCGTGGGATCATTAATGTGCAGTTACATCATTTTTGAGGACTTAAACTGAAGGAATTGTTAACCTGCAACAAACTGAAGTTTCCAAATCCTAGCTTCAATCAAACTGAGCATACACTATATTGCCACAAGTATTTGCTTGTCCCTCACCCCTTCACGCTTCCTGTTTTTAGTCCATAGGGTTTAATATTATGTTGACCTGGAGGAATGTTTATGGAAATTTTTGATCGTTCTCCCAGAAATGCATTTGTGAGGTCAGATACTGATGTTGGATGAGAAGGTCTGGCTCACAGTCTCTACTCTAATTCAAACCAAAGGTGTTCTTTCAGGATGAGGTCAGGACTCTGTGCAGGCCAGTCAGTGTCTTCCACACCAAACTTGCTGGTCCATGCCATTGGACTGATGTGCATCCATTCTGGAACAAGAAGAGTCCATCCCCAATCTGCTGGATTACCAAATAGTGAAACGTGATTCGTCACTGTAAACAACACGTCTCCACTGCTGTAGAGTCCAGTGGTGGCGTACTTTACGCCACCGCATCCGACACTTTGCGTTGCACTTGGTGATGCAATGCTTGGATGCAGCTGCTCGGCCATGGAAACCCATATAAAATAATATAAATATAGTGCATATTGAGGTTCAAAATAGACTCTTGCACTCAAAAATTGCACCATTAAGAAGCTTTTTTTTCCCTCTGTGGTGTCGATCATATCTGCTATCACTGTGGAAGCTCACCGTAGCATTTTTCTCGAGCACTTTAAAGGATTTATGTACTCTGTGAAAAATCTGACACCGCTGGGAACTCCAGACATAAAGCTCATGTGATGTTCCACATAGGGACTCCTGTGGTTATTTAACTGAATTTGTTCACACGATACTCTGCAGGTATTCCTAATGTTTATACAAGCAGGGTTATAGAGTGTATTTGTGCCACTGTGTATGTATTTGTGCATGTAGGTGTGTTTGTGTAACTGCAACACAGATACAGTATGATGAACACATATACAATGACGAGATTATTGGCAGTCAGACACATCAGGTCCACCCGCTGGCTCATGGCCAGCGCACCTCCCTATGACTGAACTTTGTGTCCTCTTGCTTTGGCTCCCATCCACCATCCGTCTTCTGCTCTCTTTCAGTCATTTGTCTTTGCCAGGGATGCTGTCACCGTAGCCGAGCCTGGCATCATCGCTGGCTGTCGCCACTACTACCAGATGGCCGCTGTGTCCATTCTCTCCTTATGATGCTCTGCATTTCCGCCTTGTCTTATTTAACTGTAATGAGATTAATCTGAATGAGTTTATCTGCTGTGAGGGCCTCAGAGTGCATCACAAAGATGGTTTGCTTCTTCATTTTTAGTTCACTGATTGTGGATTTCTATAGAAACAGGGACATTCTTTGTGACAGTGTTTAAGGTCACTCAGTAAATCAGGATAATTGCTTGCCTAAGCACTGAATAGGACCAGAGAAATGACTGAAATTATAATGTACTAGACTATTTTGGTAAATGTCGCATTTCTGATGTGTTTCAGCCTTTCAGGCCACACTACTGAAGGAGCTTCTAAAAGTGTCCTTCCAGGGTCAAGATGATCTGCATTTAAATGTGGACAAGGAAAACATCCTAGGCGTGCACCTTTATCTGCTTTTCTGATGTGACTGTACACCTTGTTGTTATTAGTTGGCTTTTTATGGGCCAACATTTCTAAATAGTTATGTTCATAGCGCCACCTGTTGCTTTGGCATGCTCTTGACAGCAATTCTTTTTGAAGATTAAAATTTTCTGACCCACATTCATACAGCTCAGCTCAATGTCTTGTTTATTGCATCCAAAAATGAGGCTACGGCATGTTCACGGATCGAGCGCGAATCAGTACTCAGCATTTAGCAAATCACAAATGCACAAACAGTAAAAGTTTTACAGTTTTACCACTTTTGTCCTGCACTTCCACCATCTTGGATGGTTAAGTCAGGGTTAGCGGGGGTGCCTCAACTTTCTGATTTGGAAATCTGACTTGATGGGATGTTCTGGTGGAATAGGCTGACTCAGAAGTTGAGATTTCTGATTTTTGAGTATAAATGGTGTGAAGAATTAGTCATGCCCCTACAGCTACCTGTTAAAATTCCCAACTTTGCAGCACAAATGTATGGAAGCTAGTTCACGCCACAGATTTTTCCTCTTTTTTTCCATCCATAAGTCAGAATCACTTAAATTTATTAAGTAAAATTTTGAGGTACAAACTTTAAGAATTAATTACAAAAATTAATTAAAAATTCAGTTGAGGATGCAAAGTTCTGCTTCACATAACTAAACGCCCCCTTCATAATGATATAGGGGATGCACTTGACCATGTTCGCACTTTCTTACCATTCATTTTGTAAATATGTGTGTATGCACTGGACACATCTTGTTTATGGATTCATTATCCTGGCTCCTGCTTGTGTAAACTTGTGTAGACCCTGGGTGTCAAATGTTAGGCCTGGAGGCCAGAATCAGGCCGGCATGCTGGATGAAAAAATATGAAGGAGGGCATAAATTTGGGACTTTTAACTGTATTTTTACATTTTTAAATGGCCTGTATTCGTATAGCGCTTTACTTAGTCCCTAAGGACCCCAAAGCGCTTTACACTACATTGAGTCATCCACCCATTCACACACTGGTGATGGCAAGCTACATTGTAGCCACAGCCACCCTGGGGCGCACTGACAGGCGAGGCTGCCGGATACTGGCGCCACCGGGCCCTCTGACCACCAGAGGCAGTAGGCAACGGGTGAAGTGTCTTGCCCAAGGACGATTACAAGACGAACTGCCAACTCTTGAGCCACACTCGCCCACTTTTACAGCTTTTCTTGCAAATAACACAGACAAACACACACACACACACACATTAATACTACACTAAAGTAGTCAATGATTGGTTTGTTTTCGGTCGTTTCTGTTTTGGCGGCGTCGGGGGGGACTTCTTTGTCTTATATTAACATATCTCTGATATTAGACGTGTAATCAAACAATTTTAGCTCTTCATAATCAAACACCGAGTTTCACTCGTCTTGCCTACAGTTGTCACAGTTGGCTGACACTTCTGTTTTCAGCTGTATTTTCCAAGGCGCATTTACACAAAAAGTGAACTAGCGCCAAAGAGAACTAAAGTGTCAGAAAAAAGCAGCAGTGTAGGTTTCAGTATCCTCAGGTGTGGTTTTAGTGCCTTATTTAAATCTTTGGGGGCTTATGGTTGTCTAAACTAGCCTTAATTTTTATTCATAAAGGGAAGTGAGAGCGTGTGCAGGTGCACGTCCGGTCTCTGCGCGCTCTCATTTCTATTAATTCCTTCTGCCAGCCCGCAATCACACCTGGGCTGGGTTTAGTTACTCATCCATCTGTGGACGAAGACGATACAAGATCCCACACGGGAGCACGGATTTATCGGGCAGAGGAAAGCTTATTTAATAAACCCAAGTGCTGAGTGAGAGGGTCGCATTGAATGAGGCAGAGGGAGGCCTTTGAGCGAACACGGTGTTGGTTAAATTCCCGGTCAGACGAGTGATTAACTCCACCGGAGAGCGGCCAAAAAATCCAGTCGACGATCTTATCAATGGAAGTGGCGAATGTGACTAAGACGCCTTTGAAAAACGACCAGGCCATTTTCCTTTCCACAAAACAGCGTGACATCTGCGCTGTGGTCGCAGCCTCATCGAGCGAGCGTGTGTGACTCACAAAGTGTGAGAGGCGCATGAGCCCGTCTGCGTCTGTGGCATTTCTCGCAGATGTTCACACTTGCTTCAGACTGTAAATTAAAGCGTCTTCCGCTCGCAGCTCAGTAGCTCCGTTGTTTTTCTGTCATTTTTTCTTTCTTTTCTTTTTACCAAATCATCCCCATTACATCAATCAAAAACCCAGCAGCCAGTCTCAGACACAAAAGAAACCACAAGTCCTTTTAGTCCTTTTGTTGTTTGACTTTTTTTAATCCTTTCTAGTCAGATTTTGTTTTTCCTCAAGCAATAGAAGTAAAACTGTCTACATCAATGGCAAATCTCACAATATTCCCCATTCAGTACCATCCCTCGGGGGGAACAGGAGGAATACATACAATTCAGAACAGCAGCAGCAGCAGCAGCACCTTCCTGCACATTTAATGAACACGTCTACATCCGCTAACAATGCAATGAATGAAATCATACAGCCGACCTTAAAACTGCCTGAGCGTCTCCCAGAAGGAGTTCAGTTCATGATATGTGGGTGTGACAATCGAGTACGTCGCCACGGGCAGCCGAAGTTTTCCAGGCTGCGGGCAGTTTGACAAGGTAAAAACGTTCATTATGAAGCAAAAATAAAACAAAAAAAGAATAAAATCATCAGATGCTCAGAGCTTGAGGGATGGGGGGCTCTTAATGGCAGGATAATAACGACAGGATTGAAAGCAACTGTGTTTGTGCGCTCTTTCTAAACTCCAAAGTACCATCAAGCATTTGCGTTTTGGCTGAAAACTGCTGAGTTACATTATGAGAACATCTCCAAAAATACCATTAGAAGCATTTCTACTCATTATCGCGTGTTTGCCTGCGAGTCTGGAGTGGGTAAACACGTGAGATTCGTGTGTTCATGAGTCTGTTTTTCATTCTTATTCTTCCCCCCTCTCAATTCTGAATGACTATCCTTTATTACCCGCAGTTTCCTACCAATCAAAAAAGCTCAATTGTTACGCTGTCAACCTCAAAAGTCATGTGACCAGAGGGAAAAAGTTCACGAGCATCCCGAGGCAGGCGGGCAAACACGCGAGTCCAAATTTGCAGCTACACACATACATGTGTAATTAGACGTTAAGTTATTTATTATTTTTCTCCTTCTTGCTGCTGTTTCTGTGCGGCGGCCTTTTCTTCCTCTTCGTGCACTTGTATTTTGTTTAAACCCTCCAGTCAGAGTCACACACAAATTCAAGGTTAAAGCATACGCAAATCTTCACAATGAGCAGACAGCGAGGTGAGATATGTCACAGTTTTCCCCTCGCTGCTAAAGAAAACACCAGGGGAGGGAGAACATAAAAGGTTACATTTTTTAACATTTTTTCATCCCCCCCAAAACAAAAACAAAGCAATGTGTCCAGACTTGAGAGCTCAAGGTCACCAGAGGAGAACAGCCGCGATTTTTTTGTGTTTTGGCACTGCTGCGATTTAGTCCTCCATTAAGGTCCAACGCTTATGGGCTCAAAGCCACGGCTATCAGTCAAGTCATCGGATAAATCGCTGCCACACCGCACAAACAGAAAAAGTTTTTTCATGAGAACTGTACAGCCAAAAGAGACCCAAAAACAATAAGAGACAAAAATAGTCAGTATACTCTGATAGGATATCTATATTAGTGCTAGTTGCTAAGAGAGAGATATGACAGACAGGCACTTAAGTTCTAATGCATAGCAGAGATTGAAGCAAGAGCCTAGACAGAAAAGAAGGACTTGGGGCCAAAGCAAAGTGAAAACACCTCTTAAAATGTTTGGTGTTGTGTAAAAAAACCCAAGTGAACAAACTGCAGTTTTTTTCATACTGATGAAATGAGAACTGATCCCTGCTCAGCTGCTAAAAAGCAGTGTGCTGACGGCTACAAAGCTAGCATCAGCATGGCTATTGATAGGGCCTCTGTCCTCAGCTGTGTGCACTGTATGCTATTTAGCATCCTGAGATGAAGGGGATTAAGTGAGACACAAGTGTCTGGAGCCAGTAGCTCTAATGGGATTGCTTAGCAGTATATTTGGGGAGGGGGGGTCTAACCCTGAGCTGTGGTCAGCAGGACGGCGAATTTACGCCCTGGCACAATGCTAATATGTTAATCTGATCTAGCTGGTTTTAACTAGCTAGCAGGCAACTGTACTCCCTGCTACAAGTGTCTTTTATTTGAGGCCTGTGCGCTCAATACTTATGGCTCACCGAACAGTGAAAGTATGCAGTGAAGAAGATATCAGGAGCAGAAAAATTTGAATTTTGAAGAGTAAAATCGACACATAATATTTAACAGTACGCTAACAGCAGCTATGCTAGTATTTCTCACAGTAGAAAGGAAGGCTAGCAGATTGCTAGTACTTTAGGTCTCAGTCAGACAAGCCTAGTGGCTTGCTAGCGACCATTTAGCAGCTACTGGTTGCTAGGTTAAAATATTTATTCCTCAACCAGTTGCGAGTCATTGCTAGAGGCTGCTGGCAGTTGCTGTGAAACTGATTGCAAAAGCTCCATACTCAAATGGTTGGAGACTAGTTAGTAACCCCGTTGCAACCACCGTTTTCTAAGGAAAAATGGGTATTATACGACTCTGAAATTGGTCACAAAAAGGTGTTTTTATTCCTGCATCAAAAACATTGTGATTGCTTTGCTTGCTAGAGGCTGCAAGAAGAAATGCTGTCCGCTAACACTTTCCATCTCTTCACCAAGCAACTGTGAAACTGTAAGAAAAAATTGGAAATGGAGAACTGTTTGCCTTCAAAACAGGTTGCAACTTTTGAAACGTGTTGGTTTATGGTTTGCTTGGGAGAGTAAGCGGTGAGTGTTTGCAGACAAGTCTGCATCTTCCTTGCAAACTACAAGTGACTGCAGCAACCTGCTGGCAACCACAGCAATGACAAGAAGGTGCAGTTTTTGGTGCAGTGATTTCCTCTAGCAACAATTCGCTGGGGAATACTAACTTTTTCCCTAGCAACCAGAAGTTGCCAGGAGGTTGCCGACTGGTCTCTAGGCTTGTGGCTCTGAGGACTTAGTGAAATTTCTGCGTTCATGTCATATTTATTGTGTACAATCTCCCCCCCGTTTCATTTTATTTCAACATTCCAGTTAGGACTGTCAACATGTTTTTCTTGATCTTACCCATCTTGGAAGACTCACATCAAGGAATATGAACTGAAACCTAAAGACATAGTGTCTATAATGTTTTTCAGCCACATACGAGCAACTCTGTAATCAGAAAGCTGACGATCGCTGTGCACACACAGCAAACCTTCAAACCTTCCATACTTTATGACATGAATGCAGTAAAAGCTCACACCAGTGCTCCCCACTTTTGTTTTTAGAACTACATTAAATCAAGCTTGGAAAGAAAAACAACAAAAAACACCCCACAAAGCTTCACTGAAGTTCTCTGGAAAATGGCTACAATCTGAAAATGAGGCACTTTTTGAGCAGATGTACAATTCCACACATTTTTCTTTTTCATCAACCGTTGTATTCTTTATAATTGGAGCTCTTCCAATTAGGAAAAAAAAAAAGAAAAAAGAAAACACTGTTCTCCATTTTTGTACCCTCCTCTGATGGGTTTCACTCAAGGAATGAGAGCAGCAAATAGCTTTTTAAGAATGTCATTTGGCACACATCCCTGTTGGTTTCCACAACCAACTAGATGAAAGCGAAGAGGAAAAAAAAAGAAAAGAAGTTTTCCATCAGTCTCTGACAAAGTGCTTGAGGACCGTGTCCGATCCAGCTGCTCTCTCGATGCGATAGGTTGCCACAAAATGAAGAGGCGGAGCCTTTGTTTTCCCCAGGGACGATTCACCAACATCAGCACTCTAGAAGAAAAGCCAGAGAAGAGAGGTTTGATTACAAATCGTATAAACACACCTCAGATATGAAGAAGATGAAAGAAATGTTATGTAAACAAAGTGTCTCCACGTTATCTGGTTAATATGTAATGTGTGATATCGGTTCTGGAACACGCTGACCCTAAAACGAACAACTTGAATACGTAGTGCGGCTAAACGGGCTGGAAGAAAGACTCAGACAGGAAGAAGGAGATAAAGGGAACAGCAGGGAGGGAGAAAGTGAGGACACCTATGGCTACAGGCAACTGTGTGTGTGAGAGTGTGTGTGAGAGTGTGTGTGTGTGCGCACAAGCCCGTACGTGGGAAAACAGAGTTCTAGATCCCATGTTGCATTTTCCTGAGCGCATGCCCCAAATGTGAGCACACAGGTATGTGGGAAAATGTCACTGCTGCAGTTATTCAAAATGTCAAGTCTGAAAAGTAGTCATGGCTTCTTTTTCTTTTTTTTCTTTTTTTTTTTTGCACCGTTGGAAGGATTAGCTGCATAATTCTGCTCCACAGTAGAGACAGCAGCAGAATCACATGACATCCAGAGCCATCTGTCAGTCTTGGGTCCTCTGTGCCGTGTCATGTTAGGTTACCCTGGTCACAGCTTTAGTAGTCAGTGTACAGCGATGATTGCAGTGCAGAAGTGAGCTAAAATTGTTTTTATACAAGGGGGAGTCTGCACCCTCTATCCACTTACTACTACAAATGGTACCACTGGTGCAAAAGAAATTGGTATACGGCTCGAGAAGAATGGCACCACAGCGCTTAGCACTGACGCCACGTATCAGGAACACTGCAGCTCTAGCAGGTCTGTGTATTGTGTGGGTGTGTCTTATGTCATCCAGGTTTGTGATCTGTTAGGGGGGGCGTGTCCTGGGTCTGCCCCAGGGGCCTCCTCCCGGAGGGGCATGCCCAGAACACCTCGCCCAGGAGTCATCCTTATCAGATGCCAGAACCACCTCAGCTGGCTCCTTTTGGTGTGGCGGAGCAGCGGCTCTACTCCGAGCCCCTCGCGGATGGCCAAACTCCTCAACCTATCTCTAAAGGAGACGTCAGCCACCCTTCGAAGGAAGCCCATTTCTGCCGCCGGTACCTGCAATCTCGCTCTTTTGGTCAATACCCAAAGCTTGTGACGATAGGTGAGGGTAGGGACGCAGATTGACTGGTAAATTGAGAGGTTCGCTTTTACGCACAAGCTCTCTCTTCGCCACGACGGACCGGTACAGCATCCGCATCATGCAGCCATAGAACCAATCTGTCTGTTGATCTCCCGCTCCCTTTTCCCATCACTCGTGAACAAGACCCCAAGATGCTTAAACTCCTCCAGTTGGGGCAGGAACTCATCCCTGACCAGGAGTGAGTACTCCACCCTTTTCCGGCTGAGGACCATGGCCTCAGATTTGTATGTTGCATCTGAAATATTTAAGCTGAATAAAGTTTTAAGATAGTAATCATTCAAATGACAATTAAAGCTGGATTTTTAGTTAGCAATTTGCAGTGATGTGGTGGCCTGGAGACGATAGAAACTGAATGAGTTTTTGCAACTTCAAATGACAAAGCTGCCGGTGACACGGGAACAAAGACGAGCTTTGCTCAACTTAGAGGAGAGTAGATGAAGTAACTACCAATGAGAGTAAAAATATAATTGACATGTGACCTGGAAGTAAACTGGTAACTTGTGTTACCTAGGCAACTGGAGCCTGGATTATCAGTATGTGACCGGCCTTAAGATGCAAAGTGATGTGCAAGTTTGCACATTGCAATTTTAACTTATTGTATTTTATGACTATTGCTTCTTTTATTAATTTTGTTCTTTTGTAAGGTGACCTTGGGTTTTTCAAAGGCGCCCTCAAATAAAATGTATTATTATTATTATTAAGTGAACAGCTTCCACTGGGATACAGGTCAAGGATAAGTAGTTCCTCCACTGTTAAAAGTATTTATGTACACAATCTTATCTTTTTCTTCTTTTGTTATTTTTTGATGGAGATCCAATCTCTTTATGGTCACGATTCACCTCTTAGCAGGTTAGCTTGGTTCAAGGCTTAAAACTCTGTGAGGGTTTTCTGAAACCTCAGTGGAGAAAATGGACCAACCAGTCAGGATGCAGGATGAAAAGAATCAGAAAACACTGGCTGACTCAACACTGCGCAGTCTGACAGGCCTCCGGACTGATGTTGTGCAGTCTGACATTGATTGCATTAGACACATATAACTCGGTTAGATGTGCAATTATTCCTTCAAGATTTCAGTTTTCCCGTGGTGTGTATGGACCTTCAAACCAGATGTCAGGTTGTTGTATTGTGGAGTAGATAACGACCGAGTACAGGCTAACTGCTTTAAAGGTCTTGTGTGTTGTAAATAAACAATGAATGCAAGATGCGAACCACAGCTCCTGCACCTTGTACTGGAAGCACAATTATGACGACCATAAAGGTCAGTAAGTGCCCTCTAAACTGGTTCAGTCAAATGTGGTGACTCACACTGAAGGCACTTAAGCCGCCGAGTGCCAAAATAACCAAAGCACAAGGCTAGTAAAGAGGACAGACTCAGAGAGAGTTCCCAGTCTCTTTTCTTAAAATTAAAAAAATAAAAAAAATTCCCAGCCTTGCTCGACTCTCTAATTGCAATTGAGGGTACTCTGTATTTACACCCCCTCCCTCTCTCTGTCTTCCCCCCAGCTTGTCTTCTTCCTGGTGCAGTGAGCTATATTTAGCGTGCCTCAGCACAGACGGTGCCCGCCAGCCGGCCAAGCCGTGACGGCCTAAATCAGAGCGGAGCAGCTCGAAAAGCAGCAACATAACCGAGCTATCCGGCATGAGAATCCAGAGCAGGGTGTCGCTACACGCTCTTGTTACTGCTGCAGCTCTGCCATGGATACACACATGCAAACTCTGGGAGATGCTGTAATTGCGCAGATGACATTCACTTAATAACGACCTTTCCTCTGCACAGACGTGGCAAATTATACAGGAAAAAAAATGTGAAACAGCTGTCTACACATACAGCCTTTTATACGCGGCTACATGTGCAGTGCTTCCTCTCCTGGTCACACTAATCAGATATCTTATTTTCCCCAGGCTGCCCCATGCCGTCGCCTTGGACGTGTTAATCGATCTCATCCACTTCCTAGCATCGTTTCTCCATCTGTTGGCTAATCAATAGGATAATGACCGCGGTGGCGATTGTGTGAGTGTGTGTGGCTCTCTTTCACTATTCTCCCAGACTGTTTAAATCAAGAGGTTAGACAAGGCTATCTGCCTCCGGAGTACAGTGTCTAGCCAATAACTGTTCTCTAGCCGCCTGTGTGTCAGAAAGTGTGTGTGTAATTAGGAGAGTCTGGGTCTATGTGATGTCTCAATCGAGGGCTGGCTAAAATTGAAAGCCACCCTGTTCTCCTGTCGTAAATCGACTGTGTCAGTCTGTCATTTTCATGCCGCCCCGGCTCCCACAAGACACGGAGGCTGCTCCCAGCAACGTGATGTGAGTCACTGAGTGCACTGGTCACTTGGTTTGGTTTAAATCATATTTTATGCTAAAGGAAATTGGCCAGACCCGCGCTAGAGTCCATCATGTGTTTACAATCAATGGAAAGTGGCGCTGGTTGAAAAACAGACTGTACAAAAAGAGCATTGTCAGTGTCACCGTCTTCATGAGAGCAAGACACATGTGCACTAGATGGATCTATGAACTTCACACAGGAACAGATGAATGAAAAATCACCAGAAAGCATCAATGCTCCTCACTGCATCTCATCCTTCTGTGAGCATCTCATAGGTCGCAGAGCAGAAAATGTACAAATCCGTTCTTACTGAATGCCTCCAGCGTGCTGCGATCTCTTTGTGCAAGACAGCAAATTCCTTGCAACTCCAAAAGTAGCCAAGAAGCCACGACCTTTGACCTACACATTGCAAAAAGCCAAGAATATTCTTCTGGAGATCATTAAAGTCTTTTCAAATGAGAGAATCTCTTGAGGGTTTTTCCACGATGGATGCAATTTTTCAAGCCAGCGACTTGAGCTCCCGAAATCCTTCTGCACTGTTATTATACTTGATTCCATTAAATCATCTATCCTGCAGGCAAGGCGAGCAGCTAAGAGGCGAAACGCCGCAACATGAGCCGGGATCCAGCGTCAAAGACAGCTGCGTATACACGGATAGACGAAAACTGGCAGGCTGAACCGACAGGACAGCTCCCGTGTCACCCCATTTTATTTCTTCCAGCGACGCCAGAAAGTCTGTCAGTTATAAGGATTTAATGTTTGCACTCTGACCACAGCGTCTGATTTCACCGTACTTATTTGTTAGTCATGGATTTGGCGCGCATGTGGATGACGGTTTGGTAAAAGTAATACTGCAACCAAAATCTTCCTCTGAGCATCTAATGCTTGGCTCGTGGGGGCTTCAGAGGTGGGTGTGGGAAAATATAAATACATAAAAAAATCTGAAAATGGCTTCTTCATGGTGGGTGGCAGCTGCAACCAGCTCGTCTTACAAGAACCGCTAAAGATACTACTGTTGCCATTTTAAACATTCAATGCAAGCACACTGTGGTCATTTTTGCACAGAAAAGAACAAATGGAAGAGTTATACGGAAGACCAACAGTGCCCGAATTGGAAAATAAAAAAAATACCTACAGTAGAAATGTAGAAAGAAATACAGAAACAAAAACATTTACTACAATACACAAATGTTCTGTCTGTTCTTGAACTCCTTGTTCAATCAGGAGTTGAGCAACCAAACTCATCACGCCCAAATATTTTAGGCCGCTACAGGTTCTTATCTAATCACATGCCTTGCAACCGCCTAATAATTGATTAAAATCACAAACCAAACATTACTGTACCATTGGCCAGGCCAGGTTTCCAGTGCCTCTACTCCAAACCCCTCTCAGATGGCTGAGCTCCTCACCCCTTCTCCAAGGTAGATGCCAGCCATCCTTTGGAAAAAGCTCATTTCTTCCGCTGTCAGTTTTTGTC